TTCTTGTTCGAATTGTTTCATAGTTCTACATTCATGGAAAATAAATTTTGAGGATTAATCCATGAAATCAATATCAAACAAGCTGATTTAAGTTTTGTATAGATCGTTTCTCGTTCCAAGTGTGTTCTTCACTTTGCTAATTTATGTTTTGCATTTTAAGATGACAATTTATAATGTTATTTTTAGAATTCAAATTAGAAATCAGTTAAATTTTGTGGATTGATCTATCTTTTTTTCTTTTCTATTTTGGTTTCTATATTTTTGTTTTCTATTTTGCTTTATAATTATTATTTTATATTTCAAACTTCCAATTTTTTTTAAATATTAAAAATTAAAATTCATTTCAATATATGTCTTCCACCATAATACTCTAGAATTACAGTTTATATTATAAAATCTTTAAAATAAATTTAATATCTTTTGAGTTCATGAAAAACAAGTTTTTCCGTGTGAGTATATACGAAGATTATATTTTGTTATCTAACTTATCTAGTTACGAAATGAAAACGAATATTGTTTTATTGAAAATTTAAGTAATATTTATTAGGAGAATGTCAATATAAATCACATTTTGTTAATCAACCCAACTCATATTATGTATCAGCAAATCCAACTTACTTAATTTGAGAGTTAAATAGGCCTGTCGCTGAATTAGTGGTGGGTTGACTTGTTTTTCTCAATTATTATGTATTAGTATAAATTTATGAAATTTTTTTTAGTGAATCAACCTACCTAACTCACTTATTTTTTAATAAGTCAACCCATCTAATCCACATATTTTTGTAATTTAAAAAATAAAAATAATTAAAAAAACATATATTTAAGTGATTTAACTCACCAATTGATAATGAATCAAGTCAAGTTGTATAATTTTTGTCCAAAAAAAATAAGGGTTAAATTATCTCATTTTTAACTTAACACATGGTAAGTCAACTCATGTGAGTTAAGTTGACTTACTTTTACGTCCTAATTTATTAGAGATATAACATTATTATTATTATTCTTATTAATATTATTATTATTATTATTCAATATAATGAGTGTTAAGCTAAAATAATTATGAATAAATTATTGGAACATATATTTTTAGCTGAAATTACATAAATAAATGTATGAAATAGTCAAGATATATGGATGTTCTTGTTATCATATATAAATTAAATTGAGTGTTAGAAACCATTTTCTAAACTGTATATTTAAAGAAGAATAAAATTATAATTAAACTCTTTAATTAAGTAAGTTTATAATCTAGATGTGATTTTGATTAGGAACAAAATAGTGAATTCTATTTTGTAACTCAATACACTTTGAAATTTGATAAGGTGTAATTTGGTATATTTAGGTTTAATCTAGTTTTCTGAAAGTCATATGAAATATTTAATTTTTGAGTATAATGAAAGAAATTTTATTTAATCACGTGTATATGAGATTGATATGATGATTTTGCATTTCGTTAAAATTTTGAAATAGTTATTTTATCCTATAATCTTATATTTATTTTGAAATTTGTGATGATTATGTTTTAATACGTAAAAATGATCACTAAGCATCAATATAGACAAATCTAAAGATTTTTTTAGATATATGTATATAGATGACTTATAAATGACTTATTAAGAGTCAGATAAATAATAAATAACTAAATAGTTAATAATAAATTAATGAATAAAAGCTGAGTGTTTTATTACAACAACTACTTGATAAGATTAATAGTAATTTAAATTCATTTATTTATAAAACAAAAAAAAAATATATATATATATATATATATATATATATATATATATATATATATATATATATATATTCTTCACATTTTATTTATTAAAGAAGAGTTAAGAGATAAGAATATTGATTTTACAATTTAACAAAATAGTACTTAAAGCACTAAGACCAAATAAGTAAGATATTCATTTTGTTATTTTAATGGAGGTGAAAATCATTAATTTCAAAATTTATTTAAATTTTATATTTTATATAATTATAAAAAACTATTATAATTTAAAAATATTAAGTGACCATGTTTAGGAATGGTAATCCCGCGGGGATTGATCTGTCTCAAGTTCGACGGGAAAAATCGAGTTAACTATAAGTGGACACGTGTTTGAGTTTTTCCAATTTTAAAAGCCGGGGACGGTGCGAATGCGTCGTCCCCGTCTCAATTTTATATTTAAATTTAAATTATAAAATATTGATATTTTTAAAATATCTTATTTTTTTCTCTTATTATATATAAGGTTATTTTTCTATATTTTACCTTCTTTATTCTTATCCTACCAAATTTTTTATTCTTTTTATTATTTTTCCAATCTTTTAAATTATTTGGTTCATTACATTGTCTTTTTCTTATTTTTTACTTATTTATATTTTTCTTAATTTTTTCAATCAATTTAATTTTTTCAATCTCTTCTACCAAATCGATAAAAACAAAGTTATATATATATTTTTTAATATTTTTCTAGATATTCTACACCAATTGTACTAAGAATTAATATTATTCTATTTCTAGTTTATTTTTATTAGATTGTATTATATCATATTTTTTGGATTTTATTATTGGTATTTGTCATATATTAAATTTTATCTTAATAAAATAATTATATTTTAAAGGATTAAAAATAATTATTAATTAAATTTTTTATTAACTTGAACTAATTAAATAAGAATTAACTTATTAAATATTTTCTTATAAACTATATACTTCATATTTATTAATATTTTAAAATAACAACTTAAAAAAAATCAAATATTTGAATATAATATTATAATATATAATAAATAATAATAATAATAATAATAATATTATTATTATTATTATAAGTATTCTATTTCTTTATAAAGAAAAAGTAATTAACAATTTTTTTTACATATATATTTTAATATAAAATAATAATTTAAAGTATTTACTTAATTTATAATAATAATTAAAAATTATAAATATTTATTTATGTATAAAAATATTAAAATTAATTTATTATAAATATAAGTATTTTTTTTAAAATAATATAAAACAGGAATGGGTCGAGGTAGAAAAATCGAAACTCGGAGGGGACGATTAAAAAAATTGAGGATAAGGGTCGGGAAGCAAAACCCGCCCTTGTCCTGCCCCGTTGTCATGCCTACATGTCCAAAATGAATATTAAAAAATTTATGACTTTTTGTTAGATAAGATTTATGACTATAAGACCTATTAAAATATAATCATATCAATATCTATAATATCAAAGATAAATGATAAGAGATTTTTTAAGAACATAAGAACTTAAAAATAAAATACAAAATTATCATTGTATAATATAAAGAAGAAAAATATAATATAATTAGAAATGACAAAATTGGTTAATCCGACGTCATTTCAAAAATGACTGGATGATTTAATAGTTTTAGTCTGCAAGTTCGTTTAAGCTTATTCCGCATAATCCATAAACTCAATGGACCTGGAGTGACAAGACAGATGACTCGCTAACTCACTTAAAAAATATTTATATATTAAAATAAAAATAAAAATAATTATAATTAAAAATATTATTTTTTTGACATGTTATTAAAATATACAAATATATTATAATATTATAATTTAAATTACAAATATTTACCCATTAAGTTTAAATTATTAATTATAATTAGATATTTTAACACATAAATAAAATAATTTTTAAACTTTATCTAATAAAACTACTAATTAATAAATAAAAATTAAGAAATTATTTATATAATTAAAATTATATTAAAAAAATAAAAAACATTTATATAAAAAAAATAGCGAGATTAATCCATTAATTCGTCTTTTTTTAGCCCTATTAGATTACCTTCGTTCAGTCCCATTTTTTAGGGTAAAGACGGGATGAGTTAACCTATTTCACCATCATAAATATTAAACATGAATATGAATAAATAAACTTAGTATCAAGGTTAAGAAAAATTGAAACATAATTTAAAAATTTAATATAGATATTTACACATGAAATATTATTTAAAAGAAATAAGGAATGATTGAACACCATATTCTTATTTCTTTCATGTCATTAAAAATAGTGTATAGAACTTTTTTATCTTGTAATGCAATCCTAAAAAAGAGTCATTAGTTGAAAGCATATTTTCACCTACTAGACAAAACTAATATTCTATCAATTAATCTTCCTGACAATTATTATAATGGTGACTCACTCCAACACCCTTATCACTTAATTTCTTCTACTTATCTTATATAATAAAATATGTGTAATAAAATAATTTTTAATTAGTGTACTAAATAATTTAATATTTTAAAAAAATGACCCATGCAGGTCTCAAATATGCAACCTTTGCATTGTTAATAATCATCTTATCAGAATAAAAAAATTGCTTCCATGTTTTAGTTATTTATAAATAAACCATGAGTAAAAAAGTAGGGAGTGTAGTAGTAAATATTTTTGTAGTTTTTAAATATTGATTTTATCTTATGAAGAGTAGTACAATAAAATTTTGAACTCTTCTTTTTTATTTCGGTGATATATATTTTTTAATTAACATAAACTATTTTTATATAATTTATTTATTTTATTTCACAGTCCGTTTTATTCTTTGAAATAAAAATATTTCTCGATATATATATATATATATATATATATATATATATATATTTCTCTTAATCCATATAACACATATTTCATACCTTTTTTTATTTATTTCTGTCACTGTGAATTTATTTAACTTAAAATCCCAAAATCAAAATAGTCAACAATGGCAACAAGGTCACTCGTCCACCTTTATTTGAACAAAGTTGTTTTTATATTTTTATAAGTAAAAAAGTATTATTATTATTATTATTTGAGGAAAAGAAGAGAATCCTTTGCCACATATTATTCTGCTACACATGTTGCCAAAAAAGTTGGGTGTTTCAAATTCAAAGCACTCCACGTTAAAGTGTGGTGGGACAAGGAAACAGTGCGCACAACATACTCTCCTTCGTTCCTTCGTTCCTTGAATATACTTCCACTGTTCAACTTTTGCAATTGGGAATGAACCCAGGGCTCGTTGCAGGTGCAACCTTGCTTGCCCTCTTGGCCATCATCTTCTCCTTCTTCAACCCTCAAGCCCTGTTTTCCCCGCCTCATGTTCCAGGATCTAAGGATCACCTCCAGTCTTCACGGATACTCCATGTCACCGGCGCCCTCGGCCCTGAGAGTCTGGTTTTTGATTCTCACGGAGGAGGGCCCTACACCGGCGTCGCCGACGGCCGGATTTTGAAGTGGGAAGGGGAGGACTCAGAGTGGACTGAATTTGCTGTCACCAGTTCCAATAGGTACTATTTTTTAATTGTTTATGGTTGTTACCATCACTACTATTACTACTACCATTACCACTTATATCGTTGTTGGTGAGAGTTTAATTGGGTCTTGTTGATTTTTGAGGATGAAGGTTTTGTTTTTACTCTTGAGTGTGAAGTTTGGAGGACTTTTTGTGGGGTGGAGTGGTTGTGTACCGTTTGAATTAGACAAGGATTTGAGCATGGATGGTTGGTTGAGTTGTTGAGAATGATCTGTATTTAATATCGATGGTTTGAGTTATTGTTGTGTACTTGCTTATTGGTTCGCTTGTCATGTACAGTGTAATTTAAGACACTGCAGAAATGTATTGTAGTTGCCGCATTAGGTCTTGTTTGGATACATTTTTCTATAAGAATTTATGGTATAAATATGTAGATAAAATGAATTAAACTTATCTTTGTATAAAAGCTAGTACATTAGTTGGTTTTAGGGTTTTATCTAATGAGAGAGATAATAAGGGCAGCCACCGGTTAAACTCGGAAACAACTTTGCATAAGGCTATGAACAGTATAACAATAACAATAATCCTTCCTCACACCTTTGCAAAATGTAGAGCCTTATGACACCAGGGTACATTAGTTTTTTATTTCTTTTTTGAAAATATTTATGGAGAAGTTTTTCAAATATGATTTTATTGTCATGCTAAACCCAAGACTCTGGACAATGTTGAGTTGATTATTATTACCTTGAAGAAAGGTCCATTCACGGTATCAATTATAATTGATTATTTGAAAAAGGAATGGGGTATGTTGGTAAGTTGAAGCACCCAGTGTTTTAGCAACAATATGATATTTTTGAATTTATCTGAAAGAGTCACGGAGAATAGATTACTTCTTTAGCAGCATTATTTGCTACGCAAACCTTCTGATTCTCAGTTTTGGAACAGTGCACACTTGCTCTAACGCACTGATCAACATGTCTATCTTTTATATGCTTTGAGGGGAATTCTACCTGGTAGGTTTTGTATCATAATAAGTGTAAGTGGTTATTGTAAATTCTAATATTAGGCTGGAGAGAAGGTAAAAGAATGATAAGAAAATTTATGCAGTCTGTATCTTTAGTCCAACTGGTCGTATCATTTTTTGAGTAGGCAAGAATGGATACTTAACTTCCTGTCTGTTTTATAAACAATCTTTCAAATTGTACTTGACTGGTTGTTTCAAATTGTACATGGTTGGCTGTTTTAAATTGTACATGACTGGTTGTGCTACTGATCAAACGATAATGAATAATTATGCTATGAGAATGTCTTTAACTTTCTTACGAACTGAACAGCTTTTGTTGCCTGATTTTGAAGGTCGGGTTGTATACGTCCATTTGCACCAGAGTTGGAGCATGTTTGTGGGAGGCCTTTAGGACTAAAATTTGATAAGAAAAATGGAGATCTCTACATTGCTGATGCCTACCTAGGCCTAAAAGTAGTGGGATCAACAGGGGGTTTGGCCACCGAAGTGGTGACAGAAGTTGAAGGCCAACCCTTGCACTTCACTAATGACATGGACATCAGTGAAGATGAAGATGTGATTTACTTCACTGATTCAAGCACAATCTTCCAGAGAAGGTAAATTCAGCTCAAACATATCTTCCTTCTATGGTGGAAGAGTAGAAGTGTGTCTGCACTTTCTTAATTGATAGTCCTTGTGATTTTTCTCTAGCACTTCAGTGTATTAAATGAAGTTCAAAAGAAAAATATTGCCTTATGATGATCCTGGTTTGGAATGTTCAATCCTTTATATATTAAAGTCAAATAAAAAATGAAGGCTTAAAGAATGAAGAAAATAAGACTTGTGAGATATGTTCTGCTCTAATTCCCAGCATGCTAGTCTTTTTGTCATTTACATCTTGTAATACCTTGAGGGCATATGCCTATGGTACTATAAAAATGCAAGTACCAATAAAGAAACTTTTATTTGCTGAGAATGTTTACTCTAAAGGTTGGCCACTTTTGTTTGCAGGCAATTTATGCTTGTACTTCTTAGTGGAGACAGGACCGGAAGGTTAATGAAATATGACAAGTCAACAAAAGAAGTGAAGGTCTTATTACGTGACCTTGCTTTTCCTAATGGTGTTGCTTTAAGCAAAGATGAATCGTTTCTTCTGGTAGCAGAAACCACTACTTGCAAGATCTTGCAACTTTGGCTTCGTGGACCTAAGGCTGGTCAAGTGGATACTTTTGCCGAATTACCCGGTTTTCCAGACAATGTTAGAAGAAATTCCGAAGGGCATTTCTGGGTAGCTCTGCATGCAAAGGGAAGTCCTTTCGCGAAGTGGATTTCTTCCAATCCCTGGGCGGGAAAGGCATTGCTAAAGATTGGATTTAACTTCAAACAGCTGCACTCATCATTTGCAGGGTGGAAGCCTCATGCTGTTGCTGTAAAGCTAAGTGACAGAGGAGAGATTCTAGAAGTCTTGGAAGACTGTGAAGGGAAGGCCTTAAAGTTCATCAGCGAAGTGGAAGAGAAAGATGGGAAGCTTTGGATTGCATCTGTGCTGATGCCTTTCATTGGCATTTATGGTTTGTGACGGTGTATCGTGGATAAAAAAGATGGTCTTTTACACCTTTTCCAAATAAAATGTAGTTGTGTACGCAGATTATGCAGAATTGTGAATTATTGCAAGTGGTTGATGAGGCTAGTTTTTTTACTTTTGTTCTTTATAATAAAACACTGCGTTGTGATCTTGCCAATTATAATTGGTGGTGGATTCATGTGAGAAGGCCAATAAAAGCGGTACTTTGAAGAGTATCTTATGAGTTACTGCATAGAATTGATATAGGCTAATCTTGTCTACCCGAGTTATTCTTCGCTTGAGCGAAAATGCACCCAGACCAGTAAATAATTATTTTGAATGTCGTTCGAGTGACATTTCCTAACTTGAGCGATGTATCACCGACTGTACATAATTCACGTAGACTAGTATTGCGTAAACTAATCGTTGATCATTTGAGTGAAAATTGACCTGCGAACCGTTCTTATACTCTACATGTTTTTGTTTAAGCTTTTTTATGAGTGAGTGAAGATGCTTCACTGAGGACATTATGGTTTGAGGGAGGGGAGAGTCGCTCCAGCGAAGAAATACTAGAAACAGTGATTCATTTTTTGTCCAAACTAAGTTTGACATTATTTTTTTTAAATCAAATTAATGAGGTTGACCAAAATTTCGTATATAAATATGAGGACTGAGATAGACGATGACTACTTTGTACTTAAAGGGTTACCTTCCTATTACATTTGAATTTCATATGCATGTCATTTAAATAGATGTTTCCTTTATTCTGGAACTGGAAAGGTAAAACCCAATGAATATTGTTATTCTCAACATAAATACAAATGATATAAAAAATAATTAACATGGTCCAAATTCAATAAATTGTCCAAATTGTCCACTTGCTAATGTCATAATAGTTAACATTTAAATAATACATAACCAAGTTAACTGTTATATTGCATATGAATATACTGTACAAAATTCAACATTAAAGATGAACAAGTCATCAAATACAATATGCACATTTCTATTCCTAGATGGGGATGTTAACTCCTTATTCAACAATCATCACTTGTCAATGAATATTTTGAGCATGTAGTACCCATTTGCATACATATTCTTGTCGAAATTTTTGAAGTTCTTCCTGTGTAATATAAGGATGTCAAAATAAATTATAGTCATAGTAATAAAAAATAAAAGAAAATTAATAATATCACTTTGATGTTTACCGATGTGTAATGAGACATGCTTTTCCCATTGACTTTGCTCACACCATCCCATAACTCCATATATTTTAAAACAAACAATCCACAATCATAACTGCATAATTGAATGTAGTTATTACACACATTACATATAACATTTTGTAACATTTTTTTTCTTCTAGTATAACATACTAACATGTTTGGTTGAATTGTAAGTCCTCCTTTGTAACCTTAATTTCTCCAATGACACTGATTGACTTTGGTTCCAACATCAACAATAGATGTTGAAACCGTTGCATCTGTTCACAATATTACATTATTCGCCAAAAAAAGATCATAACTCTGAATTAATTATAATTAGTTAGGTAAACAACAACTTTAAACAAATTTTTACTATAACTCTATCAATTGATTTTCGTGATCTATTATCATGGTCCAATGAATCCAATATAAGCAGTTATCAATCCTTACATTTTAGCATATAACACCACCAATGATCATTGTGTACAGTGGAAGCAAAAATCTAAAACATAAAAAACTCTTGTTAATTGAATTTTAACTTCACAAAATATAAATGTTAGGCACACTATGAATACTCACAAATTCATAGCTCAATAACTGCTGCTCTGGAATAATTGTATTTGGATAAAAAATTGAGTACTCTTTCATTGTCCAGGTCGGTGCTTTACCTTTACGAATATACATTTGTTCAATCACATGTATCTATGAAAAGACATAAAATAAAATCACAATCAATCATAATATACTTATATATAATGTAACTTTTTAAATGCATAATAAACATACTGCAAACAAAGAATTAAAACAAAAACGTCGTATGCTACCAAATGACATTAATTTGATCATACATCATTACACTAATTGCAAACAACATCACCTAACAAACGATATTATATTAATAAATATATTTTATTGAAATATATTTAATTACACTTTCATTAAATAAAAAACTTACCATATTATCAATATGACCACTTGGCTTTAATGTCTGCAAGTTCTGCATGGTCAATATCTGCCCATGCACTTCCATTACAACACTAAAATAAAAGAATGAATTACATTGCTAATTATATTAAATAAATTATGAATAAAATAAATTTGATTATATACTAACCGATTTGAATTATCAAAGTTGGTGGTGCAAAACTTATACAATTTATATATTTCATCATGCCCACCAATTCCATGCTTTCCCATGTTTGTACATTTGATAGGACTTGTACGGCTACTTTTACATGTCCTCTTCGCCTTTATTGATGAGTTATTCATGTGTTTCCCAATTTGTTCTTTCAACATTTTGACCCCACCTTCAAGTTGAATAATTTTTTTTTATTTTGTTCTGTTTTAGATCTACATGTGCGCTGCTCAGACAAAATTTGTTGCAACTCACGCGAGGCACCACCGGAGGAAGGTATGTTTGCATTCACATTCTATGAACATATCAAAGCTTCTCTTACAACTTCATTTGTCTCATCTTCCGTAGGCACTGCCCAATCTCATACAATCTATCAAAAGGAAGACTTTATATGTTACCAACATAATATAATAGTTCCACATTTTAAAGAAAAATTAATATATGTTCTACATACATTTCTTACATTGTTTAAAATGAATGCACATTGTATTTTTGACATTCAAATCTTCACTTTGGGTCATTCAACAAAACGCAGAAAACAGATCTTTCATTGTGGATCAATAGGCAAACAGTGGCAGATCTTCTTGGGAGCTGAGGGAGGCCGTGGCCCCCCCAAAATTTTGTAACTTCCATGTAATTTATGATTTTGGCCCCCCCAAACATAATGAACATTTAATATATTTACTTGTATATTTACAATTTTATCCTCTCAACCCCTCCTCGGCTTTGTAACTCTCATATAATTTATGATTTTGTTCCCCTCAAACTTAATGATCATTTAATATATTTAAAGTATATATCTAAAATTTTATTTTTTTACCTTTCATATTTTTTTCTTTTTATATTTATTTATTATTTATTAATAATATATTATTTGGTCCCCCCAAGATCAATGGTCTAGATCCGCCATCGAAGGCAAAGACAGGTAATCCACTACTAAGATCTATGACGAATACCATGTCATAAGTCACAATAATTTCATACCAACAAATAAATCAATCATTTGTAAGAACTGTAACATTATTAGGTACGAAAATTACATGCAAGACAACAACACAACTAGCAACGTAAAATTAAAAAACATTCTTTTGGTCATTTAAGTTTTTACTAGCACGATGCAAACTATCAACTAATAGACCGTGCACAACATATTCCCAATTATAATCATCTAATGCCTCCAAATAATCTAATAAACTAAACAGAACACTATGAACAGTGTTGGATGTGCGAGAAAAATAAAAAACTGGTCAACCAAGTAAGATACAAAGCCTACAAAAGTCAATTACATATTTATCATTCTTAATTTTTTTTTCTTGAAGCTTCCAAACTATGTTTGTTACTTTTATTTGTTCTTCCTCGTCAAATAAATATTTTACTAAACATGTATCATTATCTTCTAAAGCAACTACCTCCCCCTTATACGTAAACCTAACACAAAATAGATATTTAAAGAGGTGAATATGACAAGATATTGTTTTATTCTAAAACAATTATCACTAACTGACTATCGACTAACTAGTTCTCTTATAACATTGCTAGATATTTGCAATGACTATTTTATTTGAAGAAGGCATTTAAAGGGGTTTCTTCAGTAGCAGCTCGTTGGTGTAGTCATGTTTGAATTTATATCAGCTATATACTCTGTCTCAACCTTGTGTCTTAATCTTATCTGCATATATAACATGTATAACATATATAACATACATAACATATAACAAATTAAATATTTAGTAAATCACTTTTGATAAAAATAACTATAATTAACATACACATACTTTGTTCTCGTCGCGACAATCTTTTTTTGCAGACATTTTTTACCATAACTACTCTTGTAATAAATTAATAAAATTAACCTTACAATGACAAAATAATAAGCAATTGTAATAACCTAACCTAACATTATAAGCTTACAATTTTAATAAAACAAATATTGGATGGTGTATAACAATATAAGATTACAATAAGCAACAATAACCTACATTAACATTTCAACAATTTTCACGTTAAAAAAGTACCAAACTACATGAACAAGTGTTGTACTAGGACACTATCATTGTCAAGGAGGTCTACCCATAACTTGGCTCAGAGGTTTATGGTGCAAGGACCCTTACCTCTAAAAGATCATTGCTAGCAGAATATAGGCAACATTAGCTATCGCCTACTACACATATTGCATTCTCTAAGAAAAACTAGGCCAGTAAATGTACCCTATGTCAGTTGTTGCATAGTAACTCATCTCAATCAATGTATCCCATAATTGTTTTCATGTTATTTTTGCATCATTGATCAAAGATCCAAGAAACGAAGTGCCTTAGTTCCTCTCATTTGCAAAAGAATTACTAATTCCAAACCTAAAGCTAAATTTCATATAAGAATGTGTCTTTTTGTGTAGGATAAATTGATACTTCTTCATTGTGTCATTTCATCAATCACCTGATGGGCATCATTTAATATTGTATCACAACTCAAGTAACAACTGCCTTGGACAACACTTTCATTACAAACCCAATCAAACATAAACAAAAAAGAAAGCAACAATCGAGTATATACAATGAAAACTCGAGTACCTCTCGCAAAACGGTAGAAAACTCAACGCGAAGGGTCGTATTGCTCAAATTGAAGATGGTAGATCTCAATTGAAGACTTCACATTACTCAAATTGAAGACGGTAGATC